CGATTAAGGTAATCACCAACTATTTTGATAATCAATTAATCGTTTTGAGTCATTTTTAAGAAGAAATTTCCAGATTCTCTGATTTCAGCTTCTCAAATGTCAATATTGTCGGGTTTCTTTAGTTCTCTATGACAGTAAACTGAATATCTTTGGGTTGTGGCCAAAACAAGACTTTGGAGGGTGTCAACTTGGGCTTTGGGAAACAGCAATCAAGAATTTTCAACATTTTCTGGACCAAACAACGAATCTATTAATTGAGAAAATTATTGACAGAGTCATCGATAATGAAAATAACTGTTGGCTGCAGTCTTCTGGGAGTTCTGGTAATGTTTTGCCAAGTTCCTTTTTTATTGTAACTTCTTTGCACTATAAATACACATAAATCACATGGTTACAGCCAGCAATGAGTCACTGTTGCGGCTTTTAGCATTAAAGTCATGCTGCTAAATATGTAGACCTTTAATATTATGACAGTGAATGTCATAACTGGCTTACAAATGACCACATAGTCTGATTGGATTTACAGCAAGTCTAAATATATATAAAGAGTGGAAGTAATATAACTTGGTGAGTATAAAAATACGTAATAATAGTAATTAATAATAGAAAGAATGTAATAAAACTGCATGTGAATTGAAAAACACTATTAGCTTAACATAATCAGAATGATTGAAAGTGGCGCTATGTGAAGAAGTCAAATATAATCAAAGTAGTTTCTGATGTATCAAATTCTTTTTCCTTCTCATGCATTACATGGAATATTTTTCTCACAAGGTAAGTGAATTGTGTACACCACTAGTTAAACATGTTTATTTGGTGCAGCCTGGCCTCTTCAAAATACTGTATATCTTGGCTCTACGACTGTTGCGTAATATTTGAGTGTTCTGTAGAGGTTTGCTTTTTGTAAGGGAAATAACTAACAGCAGCAACGAGGGAAATTCATCTCAGTGATTGTTTTGAAATGGTCCTCCTGGATCCATCAAAACAGGGGGACCTGGGTTTGGGGAGAAGTCATGCACTTCATTGACTCCTTTCAGAAACATGTCCTAGTCCAACTATTAAATTCATCCACTGATCCAGATAGGACCCAAAGAGAACAGGGGTTGAGTACTTCAAGCAAAACAGGATGTTGGGTGTCACTTATCAAACCCTGGTTGTTGTTGTTGTTGTTGCGATCTACCATTAGATTTCGGATATATGTGGATTTTAGCGACCCCCTCAAGTACTTCAGTGACTTGTGTGAGGTGCTGCAAAGATGAACCTGTTATAACCCTAAATACTGGAGTTATAGTTACACTGAAAGCAGAGCATTGTATGCATGTTGAGTGACAGCAAAATTAATTTAAGAGTGTCAATGAGATATTAGAATTACAGGCTTTCAGTAAACCAAACATTTACATAATACGTATGGAGATCAAGGCCCTGAGGAATTGTGATCGAGTGTAAATCTTAGAACAAGGTTGTTTTTCTTTTTCATAATCCTGAAAGGCCATTATTTGGAGATTTGAGGTTTTCTCGTGATGGCAGCCATTGTTTAGCATTTAGATCTTAAGTGTAGACAAGACCCTTGTCTTGTAACCAGCTCAAACCTGACCCAACCCACACTGCCTTGATGGTGGAGACAGAAAACCTGCCTGGGTCCAAGTTAAAGTCAGAAATAGAATCAATAACAGCAGTAACTTGATGAGGAGACTGTTGGGACTTGAGAAATAAAAAACATTAAAATGCAGTGAAAATATTATGAATAGAATTCCAGCGTTACTCCACAAGCGGCCCCTCTGCTCAGGCCTTTTGCTCCTGGTGGGGGGTGGAGGAGTCGGGGAGTCCACCACAGGCCCCCCAGCCCTCCTCCCACCGTCTCTCCGTACTGGGGCCAACCGCAGGAATGCAAGCCGCTGTCAGGAAGCTGTAAAGTGCTGACGCGGAGGTCAGCGAGCGTTTACACACATGTGGCTTTACTTTCACAACTCCATCTTGCTTTTTCTCCCTTTCTCCTTCATCTGCTCCTTTTTTTTTTCTTGCCTTATCTGCCTCTTTCCTGACCCCCCCCCTTATTATTATTTTCTCAACATGAAGGTTCACTTTGATAGGTTTGCCTGTGTGTGCTCCAGCAGGTTGTGTGTTGACTGTAGGGCATCATCTTTGGATTAGACCTATTAGCTAAATTAGATAAATGTGCAGCTATACGGTACGTAATATGTTCATTCATTATCTCACAAATCTTATGAACATAACGCTTGGCAAACAGGACCCAAAAATCTAATTTGTTTAAGCTGTAGGTGAGGACAAAGACGATCAGAACATAATTTATAAACCTTAAAATGACATTAATGAGGACAATTTATAGTGTTATTATTAATAGAGTATTTCTCTTATAAAAAATAGTATGAATACTATTATTTTGCAGTCAAATGACAGGTATTTGCACTTAAATTAATGTAAATGAGTCCCAGGCACTGACTGGCAATATACTGGCAAGATACACATAAGAATACCCACAGATGTTTTGAAGTAAATATGTGTAATATACTTCTGCAACAATATTTGATACAGTGGCGCTGAATTTAGAAACTGGACACCAAACCTATTTCTTGAAGTTGATTGAGGATGTTCTACTTGGCTTTACCAAACAAACCAACAGTGAAGATTGATGAGAGCTTGTGTTGGCAGGATTGACTGTTTTCATCACTTAGAAATGTTGACCATCTGTTGCATAAAAAAAATGGACATTGTGCAGGTCCAACATGGAAAACAGCTTTGAAGTGCCAAAGAGAAAAGGAAAAAAGTGAAAAAGTGAATGGAAGCTTTTGTAAAAGTAATCTGTACTTAACAGAGCGGCGCTCACACAAAGACATATTCTGAGAATAACACTACACTAGATGACCAGATTAGCATCTGTTACTGCTAGTTTTTTCACCAGTATGTAGCAGAAAGTGAATAATAAAGGCAATCACATCAGAGTCTACAGCAGGGGTCTCAAACTCAAATTGGCTCGGGGCTACTGCTGGTACTGTCATCTCGTTGGATGGCCACATCAACATTCAAATACTAGACGAAAGCGCAATATTCTGATAATATTTTCATTACTAACATCATATTAACAAAAAGAAATGCATAAGGTAGTTTTTATACCATTTTATATCATAATTATGTATCATCTTTGTTGTTTGCAGCCAGACCAGAAATGAATGCCGAAACCTTCCTCCATTGTTATCACATTTGTTGGCACCTTATCAATTTAATAAAATTGTGTTTTTAGATAGATAGATAGATAGATAGATAGATAGATAGATAGATAGATAGATAGATAGATACTTTATTTTAATTGTATATGAAGGGATAGTTTAGATTTATATGAAACAACTAGAAGAACAAAAATAATAATAATCTTTGACACCATATCAAGGGCCGGAGGGCCGGGAATGGCCCCCAGGCTGTCAGTTTGGGATGGCTAGTCTACAGCCACGCTAGCAGCTCTGTGAGGCTGAACTTTGACGTAAATGCTAACATCAGAATGCTAAAATGCTCACAATGATAATGCAAACATACTGACATTAAGTAGGTTTTATGTCCAACATCTTATTCTGGTGGTGTGCTAGACTTTTAGCGTGACATTTAATTAGCATTTCAAACCAAGTACAGGAGAGGCTGATGAGATGCCAGTAGTTTTAGCAGGTATTAAGTTTAGGTATTCATTTTAATTCTAATTTTGACCTGATGATGGTGCTGCATGAAAGGTCAGGGGATCGCCAAAGTTATTATAATTCTTCCTGATGTGGATGTTCACGGCAATTCATCCAATTGTTCACTCAAAACCATGAATGTGAACCTGTTGGTGGCGCTAGAGGAAAAATCACAAGTTCACCAAAGTAGTTAAGATTCATCCTCTGGGAACCACGAATGTAGCAGTCCATACAAAAGTTGTTGAGATATTTCAGTCTGGACCAAAGAGGCTAGATGATTGAGGGACTAACTTTGGTATCGAGTCATGCAGCTACCATGACTACAAAGATTGCAAGTCCGATTCAAAACCCCAACATGGCATCTTTTTTAGTCTCCGAGAGAGTTGAACTGTGGCTAGTTAAACTTATTCCGCAGATAAAACCTGTTTAAAACTGCGTTGCAAAGAAACTGTGAAGAAAACAGACGACTCACAAATGGATATTACAAATATCAGATTCTAAACACCTGCAGGTGCAGTATTCATCACAAAGGTTATTGCTCATGTATAAGAAATTATTTTCACTGACTAACTGCCAGTGCTATTAGATCTTTGATAATGGAGTGTGGCTGCAGACACGCAGCCCAGCAGACCTGCCATATGCTGGTGTTTTTCCCTGAGTTGTGAATGTCTCTATTTCATTAGTTTTATCTTGACTGTTTCAAGGAAGCCCAGAAATTCCACAGGGCGAGATCCACCATGTGGTTCTGCTCGGCTTCAGGAAACACTGGCCATGGACTGTAGTATGAGAGCAGGCGGCTCTCTGCTCTTGTTTTGACGGAGGCAGCGAGGGCAGAGCTCCCTTCATCTGCTCCTCACATTCCACTTTCAGCAGAATAAACCTCTCACACCATCTCACTCCCAGTCTTCATCTCCAGTTTTCACCACTGACTTTTGTTTTCTGCATGTGTGTGTGTGAGGGTCCTGTAAATCTGGAATACTCTGACCTTGAATTTCATGCTGGTATTTTAACCCTTTGAGCCTCATGAAAGTTTTATGGAGCACCAAGCAGCATTTTTCTTCCCTACCATCGCATTTACACTCGTAAATCTTGTATATTTCTGGACTCAAAGTGGTGACGCTCATCTCTTATTCTGAATTACACACCTGTAAATGGCAAAAGCGCTAAAATGCTGATGTTGTGGAGGCTGCATTTTTTTGAGCCTCGAGCAGTGTTAACAGGGAAAGTACAAATGTTAACCTACAGGCATGTAGTTGTCTGGTACTGATTCTAAGTTTGCCTAAAGCACAGTGTGTGTTTCTTTCCTTTCTCCATCAGCACTTCCAGACCATGCTGAAGACCAAGCTAAATGTGCTGACGCTGAGGAAGGAGCCGTTGCCCACGGTGATCTTTCACGAGCCCGAGGCCATCGAACTCTGCTCCACCACGCCGCTCACAAAGAGCAGGCCCCATGCTGGATACAAGGTAGGATCACATGAACTTAATAATCCCTAAATCCACCTCTGTTCCTGAACAGTAATGCTATAATAGCATTAATAGAACCATAATCCAATTGTTTTTCCTTTTCTTTCTGGACACACATGTTTAATTCATTTCCACTGTGCACTCCCCCAACACAACAGAAATTAGGTTTTGAAGTTTTTATGCCTGAATCTACATCCCTGAATAATAAATGTTAAAATTGTGTATGCGGGCACCTGCATATGTGTGTGTGTGTGTGTGTGTGTGTGTGTGTGTGTGTGTGTGTGTGTGTGTGTGCGTGGTCTGGCATAGGTGTGTTTGTTTTCCTCCTCTCGCTGGCCCTTGCTAAGTGTCAGATGTAGAGTTTGATCCAGTGAGCTGACTCGCAGCCCATTCTCTTTTCTCTGTCCTCAAAACTGAAAACAAACAGATTAAAATAGCAGGCATACTCTGTTATTACACATAACACTTCCAACCAAGTAACTGAGTATGTCTGTGTGTATTTGCCCTGCTATGTGCCACACCATTGCAAGCATAACAAATAGTGAGACAGCTTCCAGTGGCTGTGTGTGTGTGGTTGTGAGGATTTTGTTTTATACGTTTAAATGTTGTTTTTGGTCACTTACGCCGTGCCATTAACAAGCGTGTCGGAAAAGGAACTGAGGCTGTTCCAACTTAACCTAACTAAAATAAACATCTCATATCTGGCAGTTGCCTTAAAATTTGAGGAAAAAGTTAGTCCCTCTTTAAATTATGGCCAAGAAACACACATGTGGAACACACATTCCCCCGTGCTTGTTGTTGATATCTGTGTTTGTTGGATCCTCGTACAGAAGAGCTAACAGAAACACACAGAGACAGAGACACACTAGATATATTATATATATTTATATATATGTCTTGAAAAAACCTTTCCCAAGACAGCTAAGAAGCCAAAAGTGCTGAGTCCTTGTCAGCACTTCCCAAAAGCTCCTGAAGTTCAAATGTGAACATGAAGTGAAAGTCAGTAAGACAGCCTTTACCGGCAGATCAGGGAAGTTTGGTCTGGCCGGGAGACACTCACACACACATAGATGCTGTTGCATTATTTACTTTGTAGCTTTTCACCTGTTGCACTGCTCTTCATCCTTGTCATCCTTCGCTTTCTTAAAGGACTACAGTGTAGGATTTAGCAGTTGTTGCAGATTACAACCGCCTCGCCTCACCCTCCCATTTCAAGCATGTAGGAGAAACTACATAAAAACGCTCTTTCTAGAGCCACTGATTGGTTTGTACAGCCTCTGTCGATGAGGAGCCGCTCCCTCTGTAGATGTAAATGGCTCATACTAAGGCAACAGAAACACAACGATTCTTATTTTCAGGTGATTATACACTAATGAAAACATACTTAATATTATATTCCATTTCTGCGCAATAAATACACACTGGACCTTTAAAGTCAGCTGTCATCCTGTCTGTTTTATTGTGTATAAATGCTGCTGGAAAATTGTTTAAGCAGATCTGTTTTCACTTATTAGTTGTCTGAAATTCCCAGAAAGCACAGTGAAACTGTCCTGATTGTGAATACAGCCAACACACTTCCTCTGTACAATACTAATCTATTAAACGTACAAAGGTGGAAGATGACTGAATGAAATGGACTAATGTAACAGTACAGTTCATTCATTGATTTTAAAAGCCCAGTGAAATGACAGATCATCTTTAGCTTGAAGATGGCATCTCTCACCTCCACCTCCACCTCCACCCGTATTGTCACATGGGAAAAATGAATTAGTTAGACTGCAACAAGTCTGTCTAATAATATCTAAACAAGCATTTCCAAACCTATATCACTATGCTAACTACTACAACCCATTTGCTGCACGGACGTGAGTTGTAGTAGTTAGTGCTGTTTCATATGATAGTAGCGGTCAGTTTGTCACCCCAAATTACTTTAGATTGGATACATTCATGTGTATTTCTTAAAATACAGAAGTGTAAAAGAGAGGAATTTGTCTATATAAATACTCAATAATATAACCCAACAGTTAACACAGGAACACAAAGTAGGAATTTATGTTTTATTTCACTGGGTTTGAGACTTTTTACTTCCTAATAAGTGAGGTAATATTGTGTCACAGGTTACTGAGTATCCCAGTATTCAGTGCGTCACACCTAATCGTTAGTACTACCACTCATACACCAGAAACAATCAAAGCATCCAGATCTAACCTGCTCTAACTTACAAAAAAAAAGCAATGATGCAGTTTTTCGGTGGGAATCAAGGTAGCAGTGACACACACAGCAGCCTCTTGTATCAGCCTATTGGCAATCCCCGCCGTGGTGGAAGATAAATAGCCGAGCTGGACTCGGTATCCTTCTCTGTCTGGTGTGAATCCCAACATCCACTCGCTGCCCCACTCCTCTCCTGCTCTCGCTGCTCGTTCCAGCGTTACCGACAATGCCGAAGCTGTGTTGCCATGGATACCACTACAGCTATTCAGCAGAATACCAGCCACACAAAAAATTCATTTCCCTCATCTGTCTGCGACCTCCTTATTTGCAAGTCTGTCTGCCTGCATCTGTTGGCTTGTGTAACTTCCCGTCTGAGTCACTACCTGCCTGTCTGCATATCTGTCTGCCCACCTGCTTCAGCACCTCTGCTCAGACCTCAAAGAGACATTATTTTCTTTTCAAGAGAGAAAACTGAGGAAACAGTGGTCTTTATGCTCTCCTTGCCGGCCTTCCTGCTTGGCTTTTATACGCTACAATACAATATGATATTATTCATTATCCTCACTGAATGTTTTATATTCCCTCTCTTTCATTTCTCACCCCGTTCTCTCCCAGCCCCCAAGTTGTGCTCCCAGTTTATAGGCAGGCAGGAAGGCTGGCTGAGGGCTGCTGTCTCTCTGCCAAAGCTAACAGCTAGCAAGGATGAAAGGCCACCTCTCATTGCCCTGCCTGGCCTGCTGCTGTCAATGCAGTCCACTTCACATCCATTGAGAAATTGTGTTCAATGCACTTTACAGTCATGCCAGTTCCACAGTCATACTCCATGACAATGGTGAAATTACCCTGGAGTCTGCTCGAAATACACCCTTAACCATGATTTTATTGTGTTTGAATTCAATCTGCCCCCTGCTTTCCAAGAGTGTGTAGTCACCCTTTTCTTTTATGCTTTCTCCCCCTCTGATGTATCATGATGGAATACGTGGCTTTTTTTTAACTTGAAGTCTCTGCTCTTGACTCTTCACAGTCATGTTTTTAGAGTTGCTAGGCAAGAAGCTGCTGCCCAGCCAAATTACGGTTTTATAAATGCATGCTTTTGGATGCAGCCCCATTGGCTATGCATGTATACCTTGCATACAGTAAATGAGCACACAAGTGTCTGATTCACGTCCACCTTACATTTGTAACAGCCCAGTGGTGAGACAGTGTGTAGACTGTAGACGTGGAAACTACTTTCATCCAAAACGCTGATAAAATATCATATTTGTGTTGAACTTGTTGAAGAGTAGGCAAATATTACTATATGCTGCTTTTCTTTGTCTTATTTTTGCTCTTTCATAATTTTGGGAAATATGCATATTAACTGAGAATTAGATGAGAAGATTGATATCGCTGTCAATTCCTGTCCAGGAAATAAACAACTGCCGGTTAGCTTAGCATGAATGCTGAAAATTGGGGGAAACAGCTAGCATTGGTTCTGTCCAAAGGTGACAAACTCTAAATCTCACTAATTAACTTGTTATGTCTCATTTGTCTAACCTGCACAAAGAACAAAGTGTAAAAACGAGAAGTTACTAGACTATTTCTTGGATGGGACCAGTAACTTATTTTTGCCAACCTACAGTAAGTGAGAGTGGTATCAATCTTCTCATTTGAGTCTCAGCAAGAAAGCAAATAAGTTTATTTCCCAAAATCTGTTGTACTAATAGGTGTCGATCACCCCTTAGGGTAGGTAATTTAATTTTTTGATATTCATTTTCTGATCAGACACTGGATTTTAAAACTATTTTGGCATTCTTTTATCTAAAAGGTAGAAACAAACGCTCTCAACAGGGATTTGGCTTTAATGTGTGACAATCATAAGAATAGAATTTTTCCTCAGGATAAATTAAGTGCTATCTTATCTCGTGTTGACACTAAGAAAGTAACTAATAGTCCTTTGTCAAAGAGAGGTCACCGTAGGAAAAGTGTACATAATAAAATGAGTGATGGCTGATTTCCATTTAGCTGCTTCAGTTTCAGGCTCCAGGTCTTGTGCATGCTGGGACTGCTACTTCTATTTCACTCCAATATAGTGAAACCAAACCAGTGATAGTGTGCGTGATTGTCCCACACTGACATCATTCACACTAGCAGCCCAGGGCATGCTGGTCCTACCATGTCTTTATCTAATCTGTCAGGCAGAGGGGCTTTTTGTCTCTCAGCACTTGGTATTCTGATGTCAGTCAGTGTGCTGGACGTACCATCTCTTCTTCTCCACTGAACAGAGAACAGAACACACAGTGATGACATTTAGATGATTAGCAACCTCCGGGGTGAGATGAACGGTGCACCCACTTGTCCACTGAATGAGTGTATGTCTGTGTTTTTGTCTACTGGAGCCTTTGTATCAGTGTGTGTTTATAGATTAAGACTAAACAGAAATGTTGACGTCTCCAGTTATGGGCAGAGGCTTGTTCGTTGTCTGTGGTAATGTACCAGCATTCCTGGGAGGTGCGCAGAATGAGATAAATCGCCTCAAGTAACGTCACTTTAGTCAGCGTCGTTCGGGGCTAAAGACTACAGCTTTGAAAATTGAAAAAAGGAATAAAAGTGGGCTTAGCAGACCTTGTGTGTCGGCCTAGGTAATGTCCATAGATTGATAGTGAGGAGTTTGTAGATGGACAGATGGATTGCAAGGATACCTAAGAAATACGAAAGCTAACTAACTTGTGATCTACTGTTCTCTGTGCGGTGACCATATTTGGAGAAGTCATTGCTACCTGTAATCTTAATCAGGACTAAACAGAAAC